GTCTGGGAGAGAGTGACTGACAGGGTCTGGGTGTGAGAGTGACTGACGGGGTCTGGGTATGAGAGTGACTGATGGGGTCTGGGTGAGAATGACTGACAGGGTCTGGGTGTGAGAGTGACCAATTTTGCCCTGTGTGGGACTGATCAATGAGTGATGAGAAGTGATTTGTCTGCTGAAATTTGAAGGTTTTAATCTCTGTTCAGAATCTTGTGTTTGAAAGACAGGCTGGGTACAGGCACCGTCTCCATCTGATTCTGATCTGACTTTGCCTGTTTCTCTTTCTTGCCCCCACCCTCAGCAGCCGACTGAGGCCCCGGAGCCCAGAGGAGTCGGACGATGGCGGAGGTGAGCTTTTTGATGTGATGTTCACCAGGGGTTCGCTTGCCCTTATTAAACAGAGCACTGCAATCTAGTAAAGCTGATAGTGCCAGAGTTAGATATAATTGTTCAATTTTCTCTCTGTATCAACAGGGGAAAATAAGTTGCAAGCAGCTGAATACATCCTCCAAATAACACATTACGATCGAGAGCACGTCATTTCCACACTTTAATTTGCTGCGTATTTACTGATAAGGCCCTGCTATATATCAATCAATATGTTGCGAAATGGAATTTTCTTTTCTGTTTTTAGCTGCCGGTCCTGTGTTGCCTCATTCCATTTGATAGATGTTGGGAGGGAGACTGGGGCTGGTGCCACAATCAAGGAAAGAATAGAAGAGAGCTTTTCATAAAGTGGGTTGGAATGAGATTTAAATTTGTGACCTAATGCAAATTGGCTGGCATCTAACACAAGGCATTTGTCTTCAGAGTGAGCGATGACACTTGTGTCAAGTGCAGGGCTGAAGTGCTAAATTCGAATGATGAAGAGATTTGAGACAGGCAGAGCTGGAGTTCGACAGCCTGAGGGCTCCCTCACGTTGAGGGATCTCAGACCTCAAGGTGCAGTAAGGTTGACCATTCCTGAGAGGGGACAGCCTGGAACCAACTCTGAATACACAGTCATCACCACCATTCAGCACTGCTTCGACTATGTGTGGCAATGTATAGCACTGCATTGTTTACTACTCCTATAGATGGTGGGATTGGGAGCTTTACTCTGTATCTAACCCCGTGCTATCCCTGTCCTGGGAGTGTTTGATGGGGGGACAGTGTAGAGGGAGCTTTACTCTGTATCTATCCCCGAGCTGTCCCTGTCCTGGGTGTGTTTAATGGGGACAGTGTAGAGGGAGCTTTGCTCTGTATCTAACCCTGTGCTGTCCCTGTCCTGGGGGTGTTTGATGGGGATAGCGTAGAGGGAGCTTTACTCTGTATCCATCCCCATTTTGTCCCTGTCCTGGGACAATGGGGACAGTGTAGAGGATGCTTTACTGTGTATCTAACCCTGTGCTATCCCTGTCCTGGAAATGTTTGATGAGGGACAGTGTAGAGGGAGCTTTACTCTGTATCTAACCTCGTGCTGTCCCTGTCCTGGGAATGTTTGATGGGGGGACAGTGTAGAGGGAGCTTTACTCTGTATCTAACCCTGTGCTGTCCCTGTCCTGGGAATGTTTGATGAGGGGACAGTGTAGAGGGAGCTTTACTCTGTATCTAACCCTGTGCTGTCCCTGTCCTGGGAGTGTTTGATGGGGATGGCGTAGAGGAAGCTTTACTCTGTATCTAACCCTGTGCTGTCCCTGTCCTGGGAGTGCTTGATGGGGATGGCGTAGAGAAAGCTTTACTCTGTATCCATCCCCATGTTGACCCTGTCCTGGGAGTGTTTAATGGGGACAGTGTAGAGGGAGCTTTGCTCTGTATCTAACCCCATGCTATCCCTGTCCGAGCATGTTTGATGGGGACAGTGTAGAGGGAGCTTTACTCGGTATCTATCCCTGTGTTGTCCCTGTCCTGGGAATGTTTGATGGGGACAGTGTAGACGGAACTTTACTCTGTATCTAACCCCGTGCTGTCTCTGTCCTGGGAATGTTTGATGGGGGGACAGTGTAGAGGGAGCTTTATTTTCGGTTGAAAAGAGTAGCAGGAGCTGGTGGGTAAGCTGAAGAGTTCGTATAAGATGGGGGTTCCCGTTCTCTTAGTCTATTCTAAACTGGTGGGGATTTGCGCCTGTTGGTGAAGAAATGTGTCACTCGGCACGTTATCTGACAGGGAAGGGGAGTGCTCTGTGCTGGTGACTCACTCTCTGTTAACCTCGTGTAAATGGGAACATTTACTGCACATAAACAGTTGATTTTTCTATTTTCCAAAATCCATTTCCCATTACCGTGGGCGCACATCGCTCTTCAGGTCCAGGCACCTCCCCAGTGACGCCTGTCACTAGATTTCTTGCTGCACATTAACTGCTGAAGACTGTTTACTCTCTGCCCAGCACTGTTGGTTAGTTTCTGACGCGTGCGTTCCTTTTTGTATTCCCTACCCCTGTTGTCACATCTAAAGCAATCTGTAGCTTTGAACAGTGTTACTTTCATCTGTCAAGAGGGAATGTGTGTGTGATGTGTCCATTTTGGGGCAGGACAGACAGGGCCGCTAACTGGGATGCACGTTCCTCAGGGGGAGTATTTGCTGAACAAAACCCTTTTTCAATGGAGGGGCAGAGTGTTGAGTCAGCCATATGTGGCGTGTGCCTCTGACCATGTCTATGTCTTATGCCGAAAGCCAAATCACACAAGTCATTCCCCATTCAGCATTGGATTCAATCACCAAGCACTGCCTCAGCGCTCTCCCTCTCACAACAATCTGAATTTGATGCAATCAGAATTGGCAGCATTTCTGATTTCTTCTTTTAAACAAAGCAGAACATTAAAAAAAAAACAATTGTCAGACATTTAACAATGCTACAGATGGATGTCAAGGTGTGTATTTATCAATTATGGCTGCAAATGTGAAGGACTTGCTCGTTCTCGCAATCATTCAGACACATTTACACTCTCCCGGATTCTCGCTGTCCTGCACTTTTTAAAATTCACTTGTGGGATGTGAACATCGCTGGCTGACCAATATTTCTTGCCCATCCTGAGTTGTCCTTCAGAATGTGGTGATGAGCTGCCATGTTGAACTACTGCAGTCTACACAGACTCACATGCCCTTAAGGATGTAATTTCAGAATTTTGACCCAGTGACTGTAACTATTTCCAAGTCAGGGTAGTGAGTGGCTTGGAGGAGAACTTGCTGGTGGTAGTGCTCCCATGTATGTAACATCCTACAAAACGGAAGTGGCTGTGGGTTTGGAAGGTGCAGTCTGAGGATCTTTGGTGAATTTCTGCAGAGCATCTTGTAGATGGTGCACACTGCTGCTACTGAGCGTCGGTGGTGGAGGGAGTGGGATGCTTGTGGATGTGGTGCCAATCAAGCGGCTCCTTTGTCCTGGATGGTGTTGAGCTTCTTGAGTGTTGTTGGGGCTGCACCCATCCAGGCAAATGGGGAGTATTCCATCACACTCCCTTGTGCCTTGTAGATGGCGGACAGGATTTGGGAGTCAGGAGGTGAGTCACATGCCACAGTATTCCTAACCTCTGACCTGTTCTTGTAGCCCCTGTGTTTATATGGTGAGTCCAGTTGAATTTCTGGTCAATGGTAACCCCCAGGATGCTGATAGTGGGGGATTCAGTGATAGTCAAGGCACAGTGGTTAGATTGTCTCTTATTGGTGATGGTCATAGCCTGGCATTTGTGTAGCACGAATGTGACTTGCAATTTGTCAACCAAAGCCTGAATATTACCCACATCTTGTTGCATTTGAACACGGACAGTTTCAATATCTGAACAGTCACGACTGGTGCTGAATGTTGTGGAATCATTGGTGAATATCCCCACTATGATGGAGGGAAGCAGCTAGGCAACTAGGGATGGGCAATAAATGCTAGACAGACAGCGTCACACACATCCCACATATGAATAAGAAAAAGCTGAAGATGGTTGGGTCGAGGACACTACCCTGAGGAACTCCTGCAGAGATGCCCTGGAGCTGAGATGATTGACTCCAACATCCATGACCATCTTCCTATGTGTCAGGTATGACTCCAACCACCGGACCGTTTGCCCCCCGATACTCACTGATTCCAGTTTTGCCAGGGCTCCTTGATGTCACACTCAGTAGAATGTAGCTTTGATGTTAAGGGCTGTCACTCTCACCTCACCTCTGGAATTCAGCTCTTTTGTCCATGTTTGAACCGAGGCTGTAATGAGGTCAGGAGCTGAGTGGCCCTGATGGAACCCAAACTGGGCGTCACTGAGCAGGTTATTGCTGAGCAAGTGCTGTTTGATTGCACTGTTAATGACACTTTCCATCACTTTACTGATGATCGAGAGGAGACTGATGGGGCGGTAATTGGCCGAGTTGGATTTGTCCTGCTTTTTGTGTACAGGACATACTTGGGCAATTTTCCACATAGTCAGGTATACCAGTGTTGTAACTGTACTGGAACAGCTTGGCTAGGGGAGCGGCTAGTTCTGGAGCACAAGTCTTCAGTACTGTTGCCGGAATGTTGTCAGGACCCATAGCCTTTGCAGTATCCAGTGTCTCTAACCGTTTCTTGATATCACATGGAGTGAATTGAAATGGCTGAAGACTGGTATCTGTAACACTGGGGACCACCGGAGGAGGCAGAGATGGATCATCCACTCGGCACTGTTGGGCTAAGATTCTTGTGAATGCTTCAGCCTTATCTTTTGCACTTTCATTCCCTAGCACTCTGATGCCCTGTCTCTCTTCCCTTCCCTTGCATTTACTCTCACTTGTTCACATACTGTCCTTCACGTAGTCTCTTGTACGCACTCCTCTAACTCTCACTCACTCCCAAACTCCTCAAACAGGCACATACTGCCTTACACTGATACACTTCCACTGACCCTCCGACAGTGCGGCGCTCCCTCAGTACTGACCCTCCGACAGTGCGGCGCTCCCTCAGTACTGACCCTCCGACAGTGTGGTGCTCCCTCAGCACTGACCCTCCGACAGTGCAGCTCTCCCTCAGCACTGACTCTCCGACAGTGCGGCGCTCCCTCAGTACTGACCCTCCGACAGTGCGATGCTCCCTCAGTACTGACCCTCTGACAATGCAGCACTCCCTCATTACTGACCCTGCGACAGTGCGGCGCTCCCTCAGTACTGACCCTCTGACAATGCAGCACTCCCTCAGTACTGACCCTGCGACAGTGCGGCGCTCCCTCAGTATTGACCCTCTGATAGTGCGGTTCTCCCTCAGCACTGACCCTCCAACAGTGCGGCTCTCCCTCAGCACTGACCCTCTAATAGTGTGGCTCTCCCTCAGTACTGACCCTCCGACAGTGCAGCACTCCCTCAGTACTGACCCTGTACCTGCTGAAGTCATCATGAAAGTTCATTCTTATTGAGTCAAGCTATCAGTCTCATGTACGTGTGTCATTCTGTCTGAAACCGGTCATTTGGGAACAAAGGGCCTATTTCACATACATGGTCCGGAATGAGGGCAAGCGAGAACATTTGTGTGTTGCACAAGTGACGGATGTTTATGCACGTTTTGATATACACGCGTGGATTGTTCACAGGAAGTGCAAACAGGAATGATATAGCTACCTGCAAGTCACCTATCGATAATCTGTCTTTGAGATAGTAGGAACTGCAGATGCTGGAGAATCCGAGACAACAAGGTGCAGGGCTGGATGAACACAGCAGGCCAAGCAGCATCATAGGAACAGGAAGGCTGACGTTTTGGGCCTAGACCCTTCATCAGAAAAGGGTCTGATGAAGGGTCTAGGCCCGAAACGTCAGCCTTTCTGCTCCTGTGATGTTGCTTGGCCTGCTGTGTTCATCCAGCTCTACCTTGTTGTCTCTGATAATCTGTCTTTGGCTGCTTCTACCTTTGGCAGAACACCTGACTATCAGATCCCTGTGTGTGTATATCTCTTATTCTGCTGTTATGTGTCCCATGGAGAACAATAACTTGTGTATTCTAATCTTGATCCAGATATTCCTGTGATCCCAGACCTGGAGGAAGTGCAGGAGGAAGATCTGGCCATGCAGGTAGCAGCTCCACCCAGGTAAACTCCAGTTCCCAGGACAGGATACTATCAGCTCACCCTGGTCCTTCTAAGGTCACAGAATCAACGAATAATGACAGCGCAACTCTTGGCCATTCAGTTCTTCATGTCCTCACTGGCCCTCTGAAGGAGCAATTTGATTTAGCACCAATAACACTGAATATTGTTTCTATTCATGCATTCACATAGCTGCAGTGTAATGCTGATTCAGATTTCATTCCTTTCTCCTTTACTCCGACTTTGACTGTAAGTCCCTATTCTCTGCTCTGCTGCTATGTACTCCCCCAGCGCTATGTTCATCCTGATCAGCTCACTACCCAGATAAACACCAGTATAAGGTCCGCTCACGACCCAGGTAAACACCAGTATAACGTCAGCTCACAGCCCAGGTAAACACCAGTATAAGGTCAGCTCACTGCCCAGGTAAACACCAGTATAACGTCAGCTCACTGCCCAGGTAAACACCAGTATAAGGTCAGCTCACTGCCCAGGTAAACACCAGTATAACGTCAGCTCACTGCCCAGGTAAACACCAGTATAACGTCAGCTCACTGCCCAGGTAAGCACCAGTATAACGTCAGCTCACTGCCCAGGTAACCACCAGTATAGAGTCAGCTCACTGCCCAGGTAACCACCAGTATAGAGTCAGCTCACTGCCCAGGTAAACACCAGTATAACGTCAGCTCACTGCCCAGGTAAGCACCAGTATAACGTCAGCTCACTGCCCAGGTAGCCACCAGTATAAAGTCAGCTCACTGCCCAGGTAAACACCAGTATAAAGTTAGCTCACTGCCCAGGTAAACACCAGTATAA